ACGAAAGAGTGAGATTTTGACACCTCTACTTGAAAAGGGAGGAAGAAAGAGGCAAATTCAGTTTTACAGTATACACAGTTTTAATAACAAAATGCTTCTGTACACTGCACTTGTTTTACTCCATTACTCACACCCCCTCCCACCAGAACTTGGCTCTTGAAACATAATTTAAACACAATGCATCTAGGACTCTCTGTAATCTTGGGTTGCTAAGCTGGTAGAATAGTTCACTTACTAGTGTTTTCATTAGTAAAAAGAAAAATGGGGTGGGTTTTGTTTGGCTTTTTACAAAGGAGTGGTTGGGAGATGGCAGGCATATCTTCTTGGTGCTTACACAGGGGTGTACAACCTGCTTACACAGTGGTGTACATTGCTGTTTCACCCCATCTGAGGCCTGACTGTACCCCTCAAAGCTTCTGGTACCTTTCCCTAGATGCCTCTCAGAAGATTTTTACAAGATGTGAAATGCTGAATTTCCAGCTGATTCTGAAATTATCTCTAAGCATCCTGCTAACGTGATGCCTTAAAAAGCAGAGCCCAGCACCAATTTTAGCATCTGGGACATTTGCAGTGGAGGAAGGTGTGGGGAGGGAGGAGCTGCTGCCTTTGGTTTCTGTTGTTTCCTTGCTTGTTCCTTTTGTGGGGGAGGAAAAATACTGTATCCCCCTCTGAACTTGTTTAATTTTTATGGAAAACTTCATAAGAAAGATGAAATTCAGCTCCTGGGTAAGTTTCATAGATCTGAACAGATGGATTTTGATAGCTACACAGATCACAAAATTAAATCAACTTTATTTCCATTAAAGTAGTACAGAAATTATCTTAGACACATTAAAAATAAGTGTGTAGTGCAGATTTCTGGTTTAAAGCCACAGGATGTTTCTGATTTTACAAAGTAGCAATAGGCCCCTGTCTTGTAAGGGGGTAATGGGACAGAAGCTCAGATTTGCATGTGGCTGATCACTGGAAAAGCAGATCATTTCTGCTTGGGGGAGGAACAAACAAAACCAAACACCGATGCAGCAGCATTCATTATGTTTCCATCTGATAGGGAACGGGAGCTCAGTGCAGAGAAATACTTCAGCTGGAGACTGAACACTCAGCCATTTCACCCTTCATCGAGTCATTTTTCCTTGTGTGCATTTAAACACTGATCTAATGCAGAGAGACTAACTGGGAGCATTAATTCAGCCTGTTCCAGGAGAATGACTCAAAGCCTGAACTTGTGCTGCTGGATTTCCATTTCACTGACACGAGGGTGAGGAGCAGGGGAAGCTGCCTGGATATTGGCGAGGATGGAGGGGCTCTTTGGATGGGACGAGGATGTCAAGAGCAGAACAAGAAATTCTGTTTCTAAAAGACCCAAAGACCTCGGAGGTTGTGCCTGGAGGTGTTAAAGCACCTGTAAGCAGTGTAGGATCTGTACAAACCGAGGCTGTGCAGCAGAGATGGTGTTTGGGGAGGGCAGGTTAACAAGCTCCTGTCATCAGCCAGTGCTCATACTGAAATATGATTAATTTAAACCAAATCATTGTGGTTCTTGTTCCATCAACAAAATAAATCAGGGACTGCTGAATAGCACGATTATTCCAATCCCCTCCTTGCCTGGAAGAGTCACAAGCAATTGCGAATGGAAGACAGTAACTTTAAAATAAAAAATATTAACAGCCTCTGGCTGTGTCCTTGTGCAGAGCGATGGCTCTGCCTGGTGCTCGCTGTCCCTCCGCAGGGAATTCAAGTTGACTTCGCTGCTGCTGTTTGACATTCTGTGAGTTTTATGATACCTGTTACCCTAAATGTAATGTTTGCTGAATTGCTTTGCTTATGCCTGAAACCTGGCAACAAATGGGTTTGGAAATAGCAGACGTAAACCATAGCATTTGGGAGATTGGCTGTGGAGTACAGAGAGGGAACGGGAATGGGAACGGTGCTGGGCTGTGCCTGCTGGCCTCCTGCACTTCGGCACCAGTGGAAACTTGGGTGCCTGGGTGGGTGTGCTTTAATGCTTGGAAAATCACCATGAGTGGCAGGGATGGAGAAGAGGGTTAAATGCAGCATTGCTGGAGCATCTGTCTTTGCTCTTCCTGGGTGGAATTAAAAGCTCATAAAGATGGAGTGAGACAGAGCTGGGCTGCTGGGAAAGTACCTCCTCTGGAGGAACCTCAGCTCCTCATCAAGCAGCCCCTTCTTGTTCCCTTGTGGAAGACTGAGGTGGTACCCCTTGAACTGTCTGACAGCCAGAGTTTCTGGGATTGCTTCCTGCAGACACAGCTGAAGCTGTCAGAGTTCACTGGTGACATCTGATTGGGGGTGGCAGCACAGCCAGATTATTTGGTTGCCAGGATAATTAACAAGCTCAGTGATGACTTTGTCTGTGCTGGTACCCTGCAGCCATAGGTAGAAGTCATCCCCAAGTGCCTCCTCCCCAGGCTCCTAGAGCTGGCCTGTGCCAGCCAATGCAGGTGTGCCAGCCACTCAGTGCTCACTCACCTGCTCCTAGAGCAGCATTCTGGGCCTCAGGAGAGCTGTGAGCACTTAGCTATGGGAAGGAGCAAAGCAAATCTTCCTACTGTAGCTAAATACCCCTGGGGACCAATATGGGTTTGTATTTCTCAGCTCTGGCCTTCTGCCTCATGTGGGATTTAATCATCCAGAATTTCTGCTCTTTGTCCACCTACCCTGCAGGATTTTTTGTAGTCAGTTAAAAGCAGTAATTAGTTTCCCAGAACAGGTGTAAATGGACCCATCTTAGTATTAACAGTAACAAGAGTTCAGAGATATCTCTGTGGAAATCCATTAGGCTTCACTGGATCTTCTCTTCCATTAAAGTACAGAGTCAAGGGAAGTAAACAAAATACTGGTTTTATATCAAGGGCACTGTATGTAAAAGTAAAATGATGTAAATTATTATCTTCAAAACCAGCAATTGAAAAACCTTTATGTAAAACCTTACAAGAATTGTCTTGCTATAATTGCCTTGGACAAATTCATCTCACAAGAAAACATCAAACTGTTGTATAATTGCACCCTAAATACCTCACTAAGTGGTAATACAGAGAGAAAAGCAGAGTGAAATAGCAAACGGATTTTTGCGCAGTGGTTTTTCTGTTTAAAAAGTTTGCAGGATAGTTGAATACATTTAGCATACTGTAATTATGGATTTGATCAAAGTATGGCAACACTGTGGGGAATTTCATTTCTTCATCGGGGTGTGCTGGTAATTGTTTAACACTGCAGCATTGGACACAACACATTTTTTTGTTATACATACATGTATATATATATATAAAATAATTCTCCATCCCTCTGAATCTTTTAGCTTTGGTTAGAATGTTTACAATATTTGAGCAGTTGACTTAAAAATAATGTACTCCTTTGCAGACCCCCCACCCCCCACCCTCGTGGCATCTGAGTACCACCATCACTGCATAGATCTGCAAATATTTACATATAATTCCATAATAGAGTATAAATAGCAATATGGTACTTCTGGCTAAAGAAACCAAATTACCCCTTAGAATGAGGTGTATGTGTATATATATTTATATATGATTTTTTAAAAAGTCATACTAGTTTAAATTCTGTCCCACATTGAGTAAGAAACAAAACATTTTTCAGTGAACTATTCTATAAACTAATCATATTCTCCTAACTTATCAGAAGGGATCTTTTTTTATCTTGAATTTTGGAAGAGGAGGACAAGTGAGAGCTTATATTACAGGGGCTAATTCTGTCTCCAGAGAAACCAGTGGAGTTAGTGCATGAAAATAGCTTCCCAGCCAGAGGAAGCCTCAGCTGGGGGGGCAGCAGGGGGACAAAGAGAGGCTTCTTCCTTCCTTCCTTCCTTCCTTCCTTCCTTTCTTCCTTCCCTCTTCTCCTTAACCTTGCTGTTGATATTTGCTTTTGATTAAGAGAACCTTGCATTAAGGTTATTTACACATGAAAAAGTGCTGAAATGCTATTTGTTCATCATCATTAAGTAATTAGCCTGAATTCACGAAAAGCATCATCAAGTGAAACCAGGGAGCCGAGGACTGAATGTACTTAATATTTCCAATCGATCCCAGTGTGCTGAGCCTCTCTAAAGAAGCTGCAGTGCCAATCTGGGGACACACGGAGGGCTGTCCTGCTCCTGGAGGGGTGTGTGCCCATCCTGCTTGGGACTGTGTGTGTGTGCCCATCCTGCCCGGGGCTGAGTGCCCATCTGTGTGTGCCCATCTTGTTCCTCTGTGTGTGCCATCCTGCTCCTGGGTGTGTGTGCCCATCCTGTCTGGGGCTGAGTGCTCGTGTGAACTGCTCCTTTCTGTGCCTGCTGTTCCTTTCAGCAAGCTGCTGAGCCATGAACACGCACAGAGCGAAACTATTTCAGATAAATTCACCCCAATGCACTGAAATTCCCACCTGGACCTTTGTTGCTCTTTTTTTTTTTTTTTTTTTTTTTTTCCTCTCTCCTTTTTCTTCTTCTGTTTTCCCTCCCTTCCCTTACTGGAGTGAAATGCTCAGAGGAGGAAAATCTTCCTCCTGGGCTGCCCTTAAAGTGCCCGGAGCCAGCTGCAGTGTTTGGGATCCTCCAGCTGCAGTGGAACAAATGGAGCACACGTCCCCCACAGATCCCTGCACAGATATCCAGTCTCCTTCCCCTAAGACTGTTTGCAGTAGAAAAAGTAGAATATGGAGACTTGGGTATAAATGTTTACACACAGTCATATAATTACATAACGTGAAACATTTTACATAGTTTGAGGTGAGCATCTCTTTAGACTTTAAACATTAGGAGTGCAAGTTGAATGTAATCATTGCTTCTTTAACACTGAAAATATTATGGATTTATTTTTAAAAAAACTTAAAAATACTGCACCACTCCATAAACAATGTTTCCATTAAGTAGCTTGGAAAATTAGGCTTTATGTCAACATTTGTAAAAATTAGAATCTGATGTAGGTCCCTACAATTTTAAAGTAGGTTACTTATCTGATTTGCTTTGTGATGGGCTGCAGGTATTATACTTCACATTCTTTATAGGGCAGCTGCTGGCACTTGCACTGTCCATAGCCATTGATGATGATGAAGGGTCCTTCGTGGGTGGGTTCGTACTCGTTATAGGGTCCTTGGTCTGACATATTGGCCATATGCAGCCGTGTTTGGGATCGGAGCTGCCTGTGGTTTTGAATCATTGAGCACTGCCTAATTCTTCTTAGTGTGGGAGGGCAGCACTTCCTGGAGATGAACACTATAAAAATGATAAAAAAGAAAGAAAACAATAAAGCCATTGTTCCTGTAATTACCCTCTGAGTGAAGATGGCATTGTTTGGCTCAGGGAACTGTTCTTCAGTGGTAACAACCATGCCTGCCGTAGTTGGAATCTCTTTGTCTCCCACATGGAAATGAGAAGAGCTTATTCTTTTCGTGTACTCGGTAGTTGGAGCTGTGTACGATGTCGTAGCCACAGGGGTAACCACAGTCGATAAATTCCAGCAAAGCTGAAAACCATACACTGCATCCAGAATATCCTCTCCCTGGGTGTGGTCGGGGCTGTGGCAGAGTATGGAGTGCTCCCACCGACCTTGGAAGCCACTCAACCATGTGGCCAAGGCGCAGATCTTTGGGCTGCATTCCCACAGATTGCCAGAGAGGCCCACGGTGGTGAGGGATGTCAGCGAGCTCAGGATCTTGGAATCCAGAGTGGTGAGCTTGTTGTTATCCATGAGGAGGGTTTTAAGGTTAGGCATAGTTTCAAAGACGGCGAAATCGATGGCTTTGATTTCGTTTCCAGTCAAATCGAGCTTTGCTAAGGTGCCCCAGGTCCACTCCATCCCACATGTCAAGTTGCTAATTTTGTTCCACTGCAAGAAGAGCGTGTGCAGGCTGCTCAGCCGGAGGAAGTGAGCAAAATTAATCTTTGTCAGCTGGTTGTGCTCTAGGTGAAGCTCCCTCAGCTTGATTAATCCCGCAAATCCATTGCGAGCCAAACTTCGCAAGCGGTTTGTGCTCAAATCCAGGAATTCCAGGCTACGACAGTCCCAGAACAGGCGGACCGGGATGGTCCGCAGGGAGTTGGATCGCAAGTGCAAGGTCTGTAGCTTGCGAAGGCCGTAGAAGAGCTCGGGGTGCAGAGAGGATAACTGATTAAAAGAGAGGTCCAAATTCTGCAGGTTAAGCAGCTGGCTAAAAGTTGTGTTTGGCAAATGAAAGATTTTGTTGGAACTTAAGACTAATTCCTTAAGTTTATACAGTCCTTGAAAAGAATCTTCTCTGACTGTTGCAATTTGATTATGATCTAAGTGAAGCCAAGTAAGTTGACTGAAGCTTGCAAATTGATCCCTTTCAAGTTCAGAAATATAATTGTGCCTCAGTGACAAACCTAGCGAGCCCTTTTCAGTGGTGTTTGGCACTGAGTGAAACCCCTGAGAGTCACAGTAAAAGAGCAGCTTCTCACAGCGACATTTTGGTGGACAAGCCATGCCCAAGGCAGGCAGCATTTTTAAAACCATACTCATTGCATATAGTGCTGCCAGCATACGAGCCCCTAATGGCCACTTGAAATGTAAGCCTGCAGAATATAATTTAGGAAAACAACAAGATAGGATAGCCTTATCAGTACACTTGGAATATCACGGTGGAAGATTTCACTGCAGATAACATTGCCATGCATTTCCAACAAGCTAATTCTAAATGCAAGAAACAACTTACTACGACAAACCGAATACTTGGACATTACACTTAGGAGAGGCTTTATCTCGATTACGGAGGGTTACAGTGGCGCTATCGGAAAACATTTTTTTCTTAAGGTTCAGTGCAGAGCAATCTGCTTTAGGATCTTAACTGCTCCTTTAAAGCAGAGCTGTCATTCATTATACAAGGAACAGAGAAACGCAGGAACTTACCCATTCTTTTGAGTACATTGGAGGGTGCATTCAGTCGTAGTTTGAGACTCAACGCCGTGAGTCTGTGAAAGGCTCTAATGTAAGACAGCCTTGAATAATTGACTGGGTTTAGTGTCCTTTGATATTAGTGCAAAATCCATGATGCTCTCTTGGAATATTCCTTTTGAAATTGCTGCCTTGATCTCCGCTGACAGGTCTGCAATTTTTAAATCTTAATACTTAAGTTTTCGTCCTCCGTGGCTGCTCAGCTGGTTAATTGAAGCTCACGTTTTCCTTTTCCGCAGCTGTGGCTTCCTTTAGTCCTAACTTGTTGATGGCAGATGGGTGGCTTATTGCTGAGAGAAGCTCCTGTAGTAGCATGAGTGCATTTACTGAAAAGCTTTTCAGGGAAGCGGTACAAGAATGGATTTGCTTATGCGCTGCGACCACACAGGGCTCTATATAGGCTGACGTCACCTGGTGACGTTCCTTTTGTTTGGGTTTTCCAGAAGCTTTGCTGTTTTAAAGCATTGTGCTGCATGCTGTGATCATGTTAAAGACCACTGATAGAGGGGGGAAAATCCAGCGGCAGGAGTCCTTCGTCCGCAGGACAGAAGGAGCAGGAGGGACTCGCAGCACCCTGCTCCCCCCACATCTGCACTGGCTCTGCTCAGCTGGGGTTAAACGCAGCGCAGAGCCGTGGATGGAAGTGCCTGAGTGCTGCCTGCTCCCACTTTTCTGCTAAATCTCCCTGCATGAAAGGAACTTTTAGATGCAAAATGCGCAGAGGTTGAATAGAGGATACTGGTCAGCACCAGCTTTCATGGAGGTGAGAGGGATTGGGCAGCTCAGAGCTCTGTGTGACAGCTGTGTGCGACTGTGGTCCCTGCAGAAGTGCAGAGAGCAGTGCTGGGGCTGAAGCAGGAGTATCAGGAAGTACAGCCTGGGAGCAGGGCACAGGAGCAAGCGCTTCAAGCCAGGAGAAATTTCTGGAAAAAGCAAAGCTTACGTTAGGGCATAGGAAAAATTTAATTGGAATCCGGCTTGACAGTGTGTGGTTATGAAACTAGAAAATCTATTTTCTCCTCCCAAAAGGTGGCTTTTATACTTGCTTTTTCCTGGACACTGGAGTGAGGGCAGAAATCGTGAGACTGGCATTTCCAGTCGGGGCTCTTGTGGTCACCCACAATGTCCTGCTCCTTTGTGTCCCCTCAGAGAGGGGGGACACACCTCCAGGAGCCCCTGGCTGCAGGGTGGGTCTGTAACAGTTATCCTGTGGGTTTAGGGCTGCAGAGCTGTGCCCCTGCAGAGCTGTGTGTGCTCTGCAGCCCCGCCGGGCTCTGGCTGGAGTGTGCACACACAGCCAGGAGGAGGACAGTGGGCTCTTAGGGCTGCTTGCTTGCTTTAAAGGTTCATTGCCCCATTATTCAGAGCAACCTCTCCTCTGGGACTGCTGGTACTGAAAGGTAAATGACCAGCTTCAATTGACATTTTTATATATTTTTAGGATGCATGTGCAGGTAAAGCCTTTGGAGTCACTGCTGTGGTCATAGCTCGATGTGGGTGCAGCAGGGGGATGCTGGTTTCCTGCTCCGGACAACTTGGATAAGCTTTTTTTTTTAATTTTCTCTTTGAGATATAAAGCAGTAATGTAGAGGAGGCACTTGAAAATGTTTGCTGTGTAGCAGCGTGGTATCACCTCTTAACCTCCAAGATCTGGAATGAGCTGAGAATAACAAATTTCCCATGATGATGGAGCAAGATGAATTGTTCAAAGAAGGGTTCAAAATAAAATGGCTGTTTACCTTTGTTATTAAGTGTGGGGTCCTTGCTTTGGTTCCTTGGAGGTCCTTGCTTAAACCAAGACCTGCTGTTCTCTGCCTGCTTCTCCCTTGGCTGTCCCGTGGTGGAATGGTGACACTGCCTCTGGTGCTTCCTTTTTGGGATGGGAAGACTCAAGGGGAGCACTGAATGGAAAGTAAAAGGATGAAGAATGTGAATGCACAAGAATAAAATCTCAACAAAAGCTAAAGCAAAACAAATAAACCCTACCCTGAACCTATCAGGAAAGTAACTGTCTTTAATGATTAAGCAAATTAGGAAATGTTAGATAAATTTCTTAAATTGCTCAGCCATAGTAAATGTTTTCACATTTGCTCCAGTGTGAAAGAAATCCATGCAAAGAAATTACATAAACCTATTTAAAGAGATTCTTCTTGTTTAATGTTCAGGGTACGAAGAGCTCAGGCTCAGCTCCAGCTGTCCAGTGGAACCTGGGCTCTGCAGCACCTGCAGAGGGTTCTTGGAGCAGCTCTGTGCAACACCCTGATCCCAGGTGTTGGTTTTATTTCTAATAACATTTCAATATGTTACCATAACATTTAATAACAGCATTCCAAAGGGTATAATTTGAGGTCAACTGTCAGCTCTTTCCCTCTTACCAGGAGACTGAAATTAGGTATCATTGGAAACATTTTGCTTTTTTGCATCAATATCTGCTGGTAGGTTCCTCCCACGTTAAGATTGTGTAATTTGGCACAGAATTAAGAGTTAATGTTCAAACACGGTGAGTTGCTCCTTTTCTGAAGCTCTCCATTCTTTGGCCCTTAACCAAACAAGGGCTATTTAGCACCTTGCCAGCGAGTTTCCTGTTTAGGAAACTGTTAACGCGAACTTTATGGGCGCTTTTCTTAGCAAAACATGTTTTTATGTGCACTTGCTGTGAAATAACAGTTATTACCTCAAGTGTGCATCTCAGTCTCTGAAGTCTGGAACACTGCAGTAACATTCACATCGTTCCTTGGGAGCTGCCTGGAATGTCAGGGTGCAACAGACTGGGAACAAACCCCCAGAAAACTCATGCAAATGCGTTTCTTCTGAGCTTCAATACTCATTGCCCAACATGAAAAACCATGTCTGATGCCACCTGGGCACTTCTGCCACAGCAGGAGCTTTATGACAAGCTGAACCCTCATATGCAATGTGGACAGGGAAATTGCCAGGAATAAGCTTGCTAGGACCAGATAACCCTTTTGAGGGCTTCTCACCTACCCTGCTCCTGGAGCAGCAGCACAACTGGTTTTCCTTTTCTTGCTAAACCCATGCGCTGGGAAAGTAGAATTGCACCCTGAGGCGAGCGTTGTCATTTAGTTAGGCTGACATCTTGTGGAGACCTTCCTAGTGTATTAAGAACAACATACAAGCTAATTTTACTGGATGGAGATGTGGGGGCTGCATGACTTTGCTGTGTTGGGGGCCTGGAGGGTGCAAGCCCTGGAGGTGCAGGTGGGACTGCAGCAGGCAGGACAGGCAGCCCTTGTGTGGCACTGCGCCGCAGCCAGCTCACCCTTCTGCCTGCAGGAGTGGCCGTAGCAATTGTTGCTGGGCGTTAGCACCTCGGGGACCACAGGAGGATTTGCTGCTTTTTGGCCAGAAGGTTGTGTTTGTGCTGTGTGACAGGGCTGTGAGGCAGGAGGTGAGCAGGGACGTGTGGGTGGAGTGTCACTGTACGCGCTCTTGGATTTGCTGCCGTGGGAGCACTGGGCCCTAGGGGGGACACATGGGACAAAGGCATGTTGGAGGTGACCCAGCAGCAGAGGTGTGCCCAGGGCTTTAGGCCAGCTGCAGAGTTCTTTGGGGCAGGGCAGTGGGAGGGATGGGTGCTGGAGGTTGGGTGTCCTTGTCTTCATGGGAGCAAAGGGCACATGTGGTGGCATAGCATGGTGGCTGTCCAGCAGCTCTCTGCAGCTGGCACTGGTTGTAATTCCTCCTTGTACCACGGTGAGTGCAGCAGCCACCCTTCACCTCTCCGTGGTGCAGCCTGGCCATGGGGAGGGATGTCGGGGTGGCAGTGCTGTGGCATGGCCAGCTGGGCAGGGGGACAGTGCAGGCAGCTTTATTCAGGTTCTTGCTGAAGCCAGAACATTGCCATGGAGCCCATTTGGTGTGCTGAGCTGTGGCAGACTCCTTCCTGCAGCAAACCAGGGCACAGTCCTACTTCCTGCACCTTGGATGTGAAAGCACTGCTGGAATTCGTGTGGGTAACGCCTCAGTGCTCACACTGCCTGGCCCTGAATCAGCCCTGTCTAGCTGGAGTTGGTTGGCAGCCCTGCTGTCACAGTGATGGAGGGTTGTGCACGGTTATTTTCTGTAGACTCGGAATTAGGCTGGGTGGCAGGGCAAAACCAAGCATGGGACACCCGAGCCCTGATGTCCTGTGTCCCCTGGCAGCAGAGCTCAGAGGTGGCACAGTGGCACACTGTGACACACAGTGACACACTGCCTGCCCACAGGAAGGTGTGCCAAGCACTCACTTGTAACTTATTCAGCCCCCATCATTAACCAGGATGCTGCCTGTTGTACTGACAGTCCAGGAGTCAATTCCCAGACACCTGAAGCAGAAACCTCTCTGCCACCCATCCTTTTTGGTGGTTGTGGGGGGGGTGGCAGGTGGGACAGTGGTGGCTCTCGGCAGTGGCACACTTGGCTTCCATCTGGGTGCTGATTTGGGGAGGGGGCATGATGGGCTCAGCGGGGATGGTGTGAGGTGGTGCTGAGCAGGAGGTACGGTTTCCCTCAATACCTCTGTGGGCTCAGCTTTACCCAAACTGATGATGAACATCTAAGATTAACAGCAGATGTTTGTGATATTTAGCTACAAAAACATATCTTTGAGTAGCTGGTTACAGGACATGCTCTGTTGATCCTGGTGGAATGCATCACCATCACCATGCCCCTGTACCTCTGTAAATCACTCTGGATTAGATTTTAACCTCCATAGCTATAGGAGAAGCTTGAGTCTGTCTTTTGCTTGTCTGAATTCACATGGCACACCTACAGCAGGAAGCGTTTGTGACAGAAATGGTGATTCTGCTCCCCTCCCTGTGTACAAATCCCCTTTCTTTGCTTTGAGCATTAAAAGAGTCCCCTCTGGGGATGGTGATGTGAGCTGGGACTGTAGGGATGTGACAGGGAATGCTCGTGGTGCTCTGCAAGCGGGGCAGCAATGGTGGGGGAAGAGCAGAG